CAACAGGTGATACACCAGCATATCTTAATTTTGGACGTGATCCTAAATTACCTCCACACCTACTCCTAACCACACCGACTCATGATGTACCTCTACTTCCCACATCTCTATCCTCAGAAATCGAAAATTATAAACAACAACGTCGTCATCAATTACTTACATCTCATCAATTTGCTCAAGAACATAGTGAAGTATGTAAACTTCAGCAGAAACATCAGTATGACAGTCATAGTTCTAAACGTTCTTTTAAAGAAGGACAACTTGTTTGGGTTAGCATTCCTTCAGTATTAAAACATGGAAAACTTGATCTTCAGTATCAAGGTTCTTGTCGCATCACTCAAGTTCTTACTCCCTCTTCTTTTATTATTCAGCGTCTCTCTGACGGAGTAAATTTAGGAGTCACCAACATTGATCGACTTAAACCATTTTATGAACCGAATGATATTCGTGTCAACAATACACGAAATACACCAGATCAAACTTTAAATACACACCCACAACCATTGATGAGTATCGATACAAGCAATGCTACAAATATGATTCCTTCTCGCCCGTCAAACAATGATGACCTCTCTCCGTCCACTATTATATCAACGTCCGATTCGAATACATAGACGACCTAACCGATTGAATCTATAGCACCATCTATATCATAACAATGACCTCCCGTTCATGCAACGTTCATTAAATAACCTTTTCCTTTCCTATATATCCGGTCACACTGAGAAAGAATGACCTTCGCTTCGATCCATTGCAAATCTATCTTATTAGACACTGTGTATATTTCAACTGTCAAACATGTTTATAATCCTGCAGATATTCCCATCAATCTGCAATATATCTGTTAAGCAGTTGTCTGTCAAGAGTTCAATGATCAATCGTACATTTATTGTTGACCCCATCCTTCACTCTCTTTCACCAATCCTATTCATCATTAGATATAACTTATCAGTCGGATAAGCACTGCATTCAGAAAAAAAAAGAGAAATTAAATCTCTCCCTCTCTCTAACTTATCCATAGCGGGTCATTCATCCACTTTTTCATCTTCCTTACACTATCACACATTGTTTTTTGTTTCTTCACTGATATTACGGTTATAATAAAAAGCCGAAATAATCAAAAACAGGATATAAGTCTAAATCGAACAAGCAAAAATAAAAGAAAAACAACATCTTGTAAGTACTACGTTTCATAACTCCAGAATGACTCTTTTCTTCTTACTGATATTCTTGCTCACTGTATTTCATACGTTTTCTGAAAATATATTCTCCAAAAACATTACAATCGCTCATCCTGAATCTGGTCTGTTCCTAAATTATATCGGTCCTATACTCCATCTGAAATGATTATTCACAATTCAGCTATTTTCCCTATGACTAATAGCATGTGTCACTTCCTTCCACTTTCAGCTGCCGAAAAAATTCCTTCTTGTGATATAACCGTTCAACGAACGAAACGTCTCATACCTGTTATTATCGGTTTAGGCTTAGGAGCAATTACTTTCGGAATGTCTGCTTCGAGCACCATACAAGTCTCAGGTCTACAGAAAGAAGTTGCACTTGTGGGGAAATCACTCGCTGAGCTATCCGATACCACAAAGATTCATGGAGCTCAACTAGTGACAATTCAGTCAGATCAGATTCAATTAACAGAACAATTACAAATGACTCAAAGACTCCTTGACTCTATTATTCCCATAGTAGACAATCATTCAGATACTATTAATGCCTTACAAAATCGCCTCTCATTCCTACAAATACAATTTCAACATTCATTTCTGTACCAAGCACTCAGACAAATTCTCCGAAATGAGCTCACTCTTGCGTTTCTAGCTCCATCCGATCTTCACACAGTCGTATATAGTATTATTCGTCAAGGTAATTTAACTTTTAATCCATCTCTTGGATCTTTACCACTAGCACATATCATTACCCGCCTGCTTATTCGTCAACAAATCGACTTCATTCCTACTACACTTTACTCCACCCCTAATCTCTCTGAAATTGGACGATTAGTAATTACTAGTTTCTTCGCAGTTCCTCGATCTGATGCACCTCTCTTTCTCCTTTATAAATTAATTACCATTCCATTCTTTCACGAGAATGAAACTCTCCAGTTAACCAAACTCCCGAGATACTTCGCCATCAATCCGTCGAATAATATCACTATCGAATGGTATGATCACAACGATCTTGGATGTGATTTCAGATTAATGACAACTTGTAGAAACACTCCACCATTTCGTTTTATGTCAAATACTTCTTGTTTAGGACAAATTCTCAACGGATTACCCTTATCAAGATGTCACATGGAACCAGTTCCTTCTTCCCCTTTCTTTCTTCGTCAACTCCACGACAACCTTTGGATCACTTCTTCCCTCCAATCATTTCATTGTTTAACAGTTAGAAAGTCCGATCTTCAACCACTCTCTCACCAAGTGTCAAGTCTCAATGAGCAGCTTATTCTTCCACCAGTCGCTCTCATCAACGTAACACCTGGTCACACCATCGTTTGTCCTGGATCCTCACTAACAGATAGTGCTACTAACCAACATGCTCCCTCTGTAATCATTTTATATAACAACACCTCATTTCTTAATAATGTTTCCGTTCTTAATGTGCATCGCCATATTACGAGTAATAATAACTGGTCTACAACTAAACTTCTAGAGCAGGAAGTAAAGCAAATGATGCAATTTGTTGAGAAAAGATCCTCTAAACCAACGTTCTCTCTTCCTCATCCAATGTACCTATCCGTAATTAGCGTACTCCTATTAGGATGCATTTTAATATGTGCTGCCATTACGACTATATGTTATATTCGTCGCTGCTATTCAACACGCTTGTTACAAGACTTACGTGTAGCCTTACCCCCTCTATCAATAACACGAAACATCATCTAAATAACACCTAATAATAATCCTTCAATAAATAAATAAACATAAACAAAAAAAAAATATTATATATAATCATAAAATATTACCTTTCCTCGCAGAAAATGGCACCTACGTATTTTTATCAGCAACATGACTCCATACTCGCATCAATTTGGAACATTCTTAAAAACTTTCATGTAGCAAATTTCTCTTCTCTCCCTTCTATTGACACCACTCTTAATTTAGTCCGTGAATGGCTCCAAGATCATTTCTCTTTTCATCCGCAGCTTCAGACCGCCTTGTCTACTGTCACTCTCCTTGATTCTGCTTCATCCTCAGCTTTCCTCAGACGCAATAATATTGATCCCGATGATGTCATACGTCTTACATGGTCTCTTATCTGTCTCCGACCGTCAACTTATGAATTATTTGTTGAAACTCTTTTAGAAATAAATGAATCCACCTCCTCCCAACTCCACACTACTAGACTCATTCAGCTAGCGTGGACACTTTCTCCAATCTTAAATGCCACCACAGTCAATCGTTTCTCATTCTTACCATCTTCCAATGAAACTAATCCCTCTACCATCTCATCAGCAATATCCTCATCGAAAGAAAATTCTACGCCTGATACTTTGGCATCACATATCTCACATATAATTGCACCAGCACAATCAAACAAAACATTAAAACGGCAATTATCTCATGAAACAATAATTCCACAACCACTTATGTCATTACAACTTGACGTTAATGAACCACCACTTTACAATGCTCCTGCTAATCCAATTCCTCTTATGTCATTCTATGCTCCCCCATGCTCAACTAAATCCCATCATCAATCACACCGTCGACCACCTCTTCAACGTAAACCACGTTTATACAGCACAGTCTGTAGTCAAGCACCACAAGCAAACACTAATACAAGTCAACACGTCACCAATCATCGCTCTGATACATCGTCAACAACCTTCAACACCATCAACTCATCAACACAACAACAGGAACACGCAACAGTCTTCTCACCAAACCACGATCAACCATCTCCTGGATTATCAAGTGCTTTTAATACCGAGATGATCGAATTATCATAGTCAAATAATCGGTTCATATACAATGATCGTCAATCGAACTTTTACTTTCCTTCTCTTTGCGTATTCTTCTCATTTGCTGTCTATCGGTTTCAATTATATTGATCACCAGCAATAATTGTGTACGAGCGTATATTTCGTTTGGTGTTTTTTCTCCTCTTCATTTCATTTTTTTTCTTTCTTTCATGATGTTTGTTGTTCATTTCTACATTTGTTTCAATCTGGCATTATTATTTTTTCTCATCTATCTAATCGAACACATCATAGTTCATACAATGTTATACGTTGTCTCTCATCTTCTAATTCACTAGCTATCAAAGTAGTTGTCATTTGTTTTTTTTCAAATCGTTACTCTATTATCTTCTTAATCACTATCATTGTCTTTGCTCGTGCCGATGCACTCGTATCGCGGCGGATGGGTGTGTGACGGATTCTACCCGTCACTACTCTTCATGACCCCGATCGGGCACATCGGTCATGTTCTAATGTTCTATTCATTAATCATTCTCTCTCGTTTTTCTCTCTGCTGGAATATATACTGCGTTCATATATTATCGTTATTCATTATTGAAATAATCTCAGAACGAGTGAGTCGTTCCATCACAATCATCTTTGAGACAATAACAAAATTGTTGTTTCTCTTTAGTTTTACAAATTCGAGAACCATATTCATAACTAAACCAAATAA